CTCAAAAGTTCATTCAATTTATCAATTGTTTCAGTTTGATGTATATTCATTTCTGGAGCCTAAAACTTTAGCAATCATGACAATATCATATTCTCTTTCTAACTACGCAATGTAAGGGTATCCTTAAGGAAATTCAAGAGGGTGAAAAAACAGGTGAGAAAACGGGTGAGATCTCACCTCTTCACCTAAAATATATTTTTTGGTCCGGGAACAACTTTCTCTCAATTGGGGCTGTAGCATACTCTTTGCGTAAACGGTTCAGACCTTCTTCGAACTCTTGGTCTCTCTTCGATTGGGATTGAGATTGGAATTGCTGGGGTGGAGCTTGCTGGAACATCCAAGGGTTGGGGAAGTAAGGCATAGGCTGAGGAGGGTAGTTCGGGAAGCCTTGTGGTGGGTAGTAACCTTGAGGTGGAAATTGGTAGTAATTCGGAGGTACTTGCTGGAACTGAGGTTGTTGTGGTTGCTGAGGTGCAGGGGCTGGTGCTTTAGGTTCTTCTGGCTTGGGAATGGACTCGGTTGGTGGGACGTCGGACATTCGTTTGTGGCTTAACCGTCGGACCACAACGATAAAAATCTCTGCTACTAGCAGTACTTTTACTGACAGTAGCAGTACTTTTACTGACAGTAGCAGTACTTTTACTGACAGTAGCAGTACTTTTACTGACAGTAGCAGTACTTTTTCTGACAGTAGCAGTACTTTTACTGACAGTAGCAGTACTTTATCGTCGAAAACCCTCTCAAATTTTCCTTTTTACTGACAGTAGCAGTACTTTTACTGACAGTAGCAGTACTTTTACTGACAGTAGCAGTACTTTTACTGACAGTAGCAGTACTTTTTCTGACAGTAGCAGTACTTTTACTGACAGTAGCAGTACTTTTTCTGACAGTAGCAATGGTCGAGGTCGAGCCATTAGATGAGGCAATTTACCTTATAGAGAGAAATGAAGTTGTTAAGCAGTACTTGGGCAAGGTCATGAAGCCAACAAGTCCCTCGGCTTCTGGTTGTCTGGAAGAGGTGCGCTGAAAATCGAAATTGAAACCGGAATTCCAATTCAAATACCAGAAAACACTCCTGTAGACGACATAAAGGAGATGAAGAAAGAAGCTCTTCTCAAGTTCTTTGCAAAGCGCCCATGGATACAACTTCCAAACAGAGAGAGTCCAATTCCACGAATTATACAAATTCTCAGAGCACTGTTCCACTTCTCGGGTCAGCCGTTCTACATAACCTCAGAAGGCGACATCCAACCAGTTCAGTAAACATCTCATTTTAACTCACTTTTTTCTATCTTAAGGAAATTCATGAAAATTCAAGAGGGTGAAAAAACAGGTGAGAAAACAGGTGAGATCTCACCACTTCACCTAAACTTTATTTTTCAATACTTTTTCAGCACTTTTCCGTAGTTGTATATGAAAGACAATTCGAGATAAAAGTCATAGTACAATGGTATAATATGCTGCACACCGTTTGTTGTGAACCAAACTTGAAAGTCAGAGAAACTGTTACTAGGTGGTTCGTAGAATTTAGAAGCAAAGTCATAAAAGTCCTTACCAATACAAAGAAAACTGTTGTTGCTTGAACTGAAACTTGCATGACACATGACATTTTGAGGGTCAAACACGTTTCTATAAACTGTCAAATCTGCTGGTGGAAGTATAAATTTAAATGGACCATCTGGTGGTAATGGTTCGTTCTGGTTTAGTAACCGAAGAAATTGTGCCCAAGAACGTTTGTCTACTCCCCAATATAAAAACTCTGTATCTCTTGGAGGGTTAATTTCAATCTTTTGAAATGAAACTGTGGAGTTCATCTTGTCATATTCTAGTTTCAGATAGTACGTTCCATTTAGTAAAGAGTCGTATTTTTCTTGAAATTCCCAGTAGTATTTGTTTATTTGAGTTTGAAAGTCATTTAGAGTTTTTTCAAGACTTTCGTCTGAACGAATTGTAAAGATTCTCATTTCGTCAAATTTGTCTATTAGACCATCAGAACCTTTATACTGCCCATGAAAATATACTGCGAACATAAACGCGTTAGTTCTATTTGAAAACAAAACTCTTCTAAATCCTATTGCCTTTGCATCTGAAGGACTTTGAAGCCAACGAATTGGATAGTTAAATCTGTAAGCTCCGGATGAAATTTCTTCATCTGAAATATTCCTACCAGCATTTGTAAAGATATAGTCTAACGGTTTTGTATCTGCTACTTTTGTTCTTTGTTTTTCAACCTGAAGCATTTAATATATGTAAAAATATACTGTTTTAAAATGGTATGCCATATAGCTTCTTGAATTTGTTAAGAAGTATTTGAACGTTTTTTCCATCTGTATCTCTAGTGTTTACATAAGCATAGCCTTCCTTAGTAAAATATACTTGTAATTTCCTATAGTTTACGCCGGTATAAAAGTAGAAAGAGTCTTGTTCTTCGCTATAGTAGTAAAACTCAAACGTATGCTTGCCATAGTCTGTAATTTCAATTGTTTCATCTTCTAGTTCGTCGACAAATTCGAATACAATATCTCGAAATTTGCTTTTGTTCTTATTGTTTTCAGAACAAGTGACCCAACGTAAGTTTTCAAGTCTATTGTCGTTTCTTATACGGTTTATATGGTCTACAAAAGGTAAATTGTTAGGATTCAGTATAAAATGAGTTGCAATGACAACATGTTTAAAATAGCGTTTTCCACCAATCCTCATCATAGCATATCCGTCATTTTGCTCCCATTCGCTTAAAACTCTTTTTGTCTTTTTTTTTCTGACTTCAAATGACTCATAACAGTGAATTTCATATTTCTCATCTAACAAACAAGTTTCCCAACGGTCTTCTCCAACAAACTCAGCGTACATTTCAAATAAAATAAAAAAATATTTTTTTAAAAATATATTGTTTAAAATGGTATGCCATTTCATATTTCTCATCTAATTTCTCATGAACTTTCTTGTCTATGTTTTGTCAAGACTTTCTTGTCTATGTTTTGTCAAGACTTCTTCATCTAATTTCTCATGAACTTCATCGTCTATGTTTTGTCAAGACTTCTTCATCTAATTTCTCATGAACTTTCATCGTCAATGTTTTGTCAAGACTTCTTCATCTAATTTCTCATGAACTTTCATCGTCTAATTTCTCATGAACTTCATCGTATATGTTTTGTCATGACTTTCATCGTCTAACAAACAAGTTTCCCAACGGTCGTCTCCAACAAAACTCAGCGTACAGTTCAAATAAAAATAAAAATATACTGTTTTCTTTACTTTACATAACCTCCTGCTACCATAAGCCTTTGACGCCAACCCATACCAGCTAATGAAGGTTGACTTGGTTTAGTATTAAAACTAACCTTTGGTTTTGGTTTATCTTCAGTTTTTGGCTCACCTTCTTCTATTGGTTTTTCGTCACTTTTCGGTTCACCTGACTTTACCTCACTTGCTGGAATAGTTGTGTCGTCAACATCTTCATAAATATCATATGCCATTTGTTTTTGTTTTCCTTTCAACTTTTTGTGTTTGTTGTAAAGTTTAGAATATTTCGACTCTAAGTCAATGAGATGTTCTATAATGAACTGTTGGTCAGTGAAGTAAACTTTTCCATCTGTTGTCTCGAAAGCTCCTTCAGACTTCAATATTTTATTTGTGAGAGTCTGTTTCTTTTTTGAGATACTTGCCGTTCCATTTTTATGAAAAGTGACTTTGTAGTTAGGGTTTGTATTTCCAGACCTGGCACTTTCTATTATTGAATTTTTCTCTTCATCTGTAAGTTCTTTGACAGGTTTTGACAATGGTTCTGAACTTTTTGTTTGTGGTGTCAAATCTACCGTTTCAATTTCTTCCGTCATTTCATCTCAGTAAAAAATTTTAGTTTGGTTTGTTTTCAACTGGTTGTTTAGGTTTTTTAAGTCGGTCTAAAACTTCCTGAGGTATAGGAAGAACTTGACAAACACGTGGTGGTGTAACTGCTGGAAGTCGACAAATCCATCTTGAACCCATTTGTCTCAAAGCTGTATTGTTCATTTCATCTCAGTAAAAAAATTTACATTCCCCACGTTTGAGGCGGTTGAGGTTGGTTATTGTTTACCCACTGTTGTGCATGGTTATATCCTCTGTTAAAGAATCTTTCACCTTGGTCCATATAGTGCCCTGCTTGGTTATAGTAGTCATTTGCTTTGTTATAGTAGTTTCCTGCTTGTCTTCCTACATTGTCCATCCATCCTTGAACTTTTCCTCTTGTTTCAGGATTTGGAATAAGATTTGTTGCATCTCGTGCTACCTCCCAACCTTTCTGTACAGTTTGTATAATAGGTTGTGCTTTCTCTTTCAGTATACCTAATGTACTCAAAATCTTCCTTCCAATTCCAAATGCACCTCTGGCTATTGTTCCCACTGCGGGTAAAAATCTAGATGCGACTCCTGCTAATGCGCCAAATAAACCCATTTCTTATGGGTTAAAAATGACGAATTCAAACAAGGACCCCTATGTTTCTAAGGCAACAAAGAAAGCACTCATGGTAAAAATCTTTAGTTCAACACCAAATGCTTGGTTTATGGATATCTTGGAAAACATTCCGAGAGTTAGAACAGATGGACCACCATACTGGCTAATATTTGTTGGTCAAAACACAAGATACTGTGAAGCCATACCATTACAGTCCAAAAATATTTTAGATGTGAAAACTGCTTTGACAATATTCGTTGACAAATACCATCCAACAAAACTGACATCTGACTATGAAAGTTCTTTCAAATCAGATGATATTAAAAACTATCTGCGTTCAAAAAATGTAAACCAATATTTCATTGTCGACCAAAACCATTCTGCTCTTGGTGTCATTGACAGTTGTATAAAAATCTTAAGAGACTTAAACCAACCACAAGGTGGTGAAGCAAATGAAATGTCATATGACGACAAATATAGACACTTCTCCATGGCAAAGATGAGACAAGTTTTAAATATTTACAATAGCCGTAAACAAAAAGGTTTGGGAAACCACTCCCCCGAAGAAATGAAAAACAACCCTGACTTAGAGAAAGACTATATATTTAACAATTTAGTCAAAAGAGACAAACAAGAAAGAATGCCGGGCTTCAAACTTCAGAAAGGTGACAAAGTAAAAATAGAAATACCTAAACGCGACCCATATGAAAATACTATTGACTATGACAACAACAAGTACCCGACAGGTACTCACATTCGTGTTCGTAAAAATAGAAGAAAGTATACAAGAGAATATTATGAAGTTTTAGGCAAACATGGCAAAATGTACAGACTGCAAGCAGAAGATAAAACTACTATTGTCAGACCTCGTTTCAAACTTGTTAAGGTTCAAGGTGGTATACTTTCAAAGACAGTTCCTAACAAATATAAGACAACTCCTGACGAATATGCTAAAGAAGTTGAAAATGACGACTAAGCAATTCTATACCATGCGTAAACTGTCATGTAAGGTGGCATGTAGTCTTTACTTTGTCCCGTTGTTTGCGTATACCCTGAAACGAAATGTGTATGGTTTCCTCCTACCTCAGTGTTACTCAGGAAACAATTATAGCAAACTGAACGTTGTCTTTAACATCATATCCTTTACCTTTTGTCATTCCTGTCCAATCCCAATATTTATGCCTATGCCCACCTTCTTGAGATGTAGTTAAACTTACGTAGTGACTGTGCGCAGGTAAATTTGCACCTGAAATCGTTTTACTTCCACCTGTTTCCTTTGAAGAGTTTGCACAATACAAAAACCTGTCGACTATTTGAGTCCAAGTTCCAAAACCAAGTACTACTTCTGGTCTGGTAGAGTTCATTGACGTATAAATAGAACCTATAGGATATACTGTTTGAAGTATTTCTGTCTTTAATGTTTGAAGCTCTGTTTTGTCAGCTTTTTTATCATATAAATCTTGAGCAGTGAATTTAACATTGTTTTCATCCTCCATGACATAGACATTTCTACATCTAGTGTATTTCATCGTCGTTATGTCTTCCTCCGATGTTAAACCTTGTGGAAAGTTAGGAGGTTTCCAATATAATGCATCCCCACCAGTTCCATCAGCTCCTTCAACCGTTCCTTCAATATTTTCTATACCAACAGTTGTAAAACTTGTATGTGTATGGTTCTTATCTGCTTTCTTTTCAAGGCTAACGTTTAAGTCTGTTATTTCAGAAGATGTATGTGTATGTCCAACGTCACTTTTCCTGTTTAAGGTTTCTTGTAAGTTTGTAATATTTGCAATGGTATGTGTATGAGTCTTATTTGCTTTTGTCTCTAAGGTTTCTTGTAAGTTTGTAATATTTGCAATGGTATGTGTATGAGTCTTTTTAGAATATTCGTTTTCAGCTCTTGTCACTTCACTTGACATTTTATTGTCAACATATGTTTTATCTGCTTTCTTTTCAACATCCTCTTTTGTTGCATATGTTGCATCTGCTCTGTCATGTTCTTCTTGAACTTTTTCAATGACATACTCTTTGTCAGCTTTGTTGTCAATATCTGCTTTCAAAAGAAGTTCATCTATAGGTTTCTCGTTTAAAGTTCCTTTTGTTGGATTTATACAGACAGTATGGTTCTTATTGTCTTGAAACAGAAACTCATCTGTCATTGGGTTCATTGTCAGTTTTAAGTTTCCTTCTTTCAATGACTCAGATATCTTAGAATAGTTTGAAAAGTTTGTTGTGTTCTTATTTAGAGCTTGCACAATGAGTTGTCGGTTGTGTTGTATTTCTCTCATAGACGCTGTTTCTTTCGACATTTTTATTCTAGATAAAATATGCTTTCAATAGAAAAAGAAAATTCAAGAGTTGCTACAACTAAACCATTAGATGAACTTTTTACTAATGTCGGTCAAAAGTTTGAGACAGAGACCGTAAAGCATGAAGGCTATCGTTTTGACTACCCACTAAGATGGTTAAGAGACCCATCCGTCACAAAAGCTATTGGCTTTCGTAGAATGAAGTTCATTTCAGAAGCCATACATGGTTTCCCATTTACGGTCGGTTTTGAAGTTCGATACTATAACAAAGAAAAACGTACGTATGAGAAATTTGAACAGGGAAAACTTTTACAAGTGAATTTGCTTGTAAACTTAGAAACAACTCTTCAAGCTTTTCAAGAAAAAATAAACGATATCTATCTCGAATATGCAAAACAGTATAACATTGACGAAGGAGAGTACCATCTCGATATTATATATGACAGGAAAAATGCAACTGTTAAAATCGATAGAATAGAAGACCTTGGAGAAAACGTTTATATTTCTACAAAATATAACAACTTGGCATGGTATAGATTTTTGAGGATGTTAAATCAGCCTGCAGAATATCCAGTACACCCGAACTTTTATGAAGTCGAAAACCCTAATGGAACATATGAAAATGTTTTCGACCAAGATGCTATTATAGTTCATGCTTCATTTTCTGGTGCACAAAACTCTTTTTTATGCTTGGCAAATGACTTTTACGAAAAACCTACAAAGCTATATGAACCGCCGAGTGGAAGTATTTCAGACTTTCAAGTATGGTTTACTACAGATGGAAGAAAGAGAATAATTCCATTATACCACGCGTTTTACTTAGAACTTAGTTTCATATACAACTACTATCGAACGGTAAAAATATAATTTTTAATACGGTTGAGGTGTTGGATTTGGTTGCCAACTAGACTGTGGTGCAGGTTCAGGCTGTTGTATAACAGGAGCTTGTTCTTCTGGTTCAGGGTCTTTAGGTATAATACCAACGAACTGACCTACTCTTTTACCAATATTTTTGACTCCGTTCCAAATTCCTCTTCCGACAGATTTTATTCCATTCCATATACCTCTTCCAACATTTCGAAAGAAGTTTCCTATTCTTCCAAAGAAACCCATTTTACTATATGTAAAAATCTAATGTCCGCCTAGTCTCTTACGTTTCCTTCTGAGTTCCATAGCATTCTTTAACTGGAGCTCATACATTCTATTTCTCCTCTGGTAGAAAACATATTCTGGGTCAACTCCTGTGTTCGCGTCATCTGCATAGAGTTGTTTATATCCCACTTCAGGGTTTGTATAAAACTCTTTCCATCTCATATTTGCATACCATGGTGGCAAACCTAACGCAGCGTCATTTGACATGGCAGTTTGCATTTGTACATCTGTTGGCACTTGACCATAGTTTGCCATTGCAGTTTGTATTCTAACTTCATTTGGAATATTCTCTGGGTTTGGTTGTCCAGGTTGCTGTGCATTCGCTAAGTTCTGTGCGTCCATTTAATATTAGATAAAAATATCTCTTACGAGTACATATGCTGAACATTTGCAGGTATTGGTTCATCTTCATATTCTCTATATCTTTCTGCCACGTCAAATAAGTAAATGACACAATGGAAAAAACCTAAAACAAGTAGTCCTATTTCAAACCACATTTACTTACCAATAAAATTTCTTTGTTATGACACTTTCTCCGGTTTATAGGACCTCTCTCATATTCTATCTCTCATATCTAAACTCATAGTCATGTATGTCCTCTAAACTTCACTTATACTAAACATCTTCGGGGCTAGAGGGCACGAAGTGCCTGGAAGCCCCATTACCTTTTTTTTTTATTCGCATTATGTGATATGCATACAACAATATTTATATGGATATTAACACTTAGCACGATTAATCTTATAACGAGTTTTTCGACGATGCAAAATTTGCCATACAATTCATTTTCTCATACAAATAGTGCATGACTTATGTCATGTATGATATTCATTGATAATCCACATTTATTGTGAACCTAAATAGAATAATTCTGAAGATAACCTTTTGAGATATTCAAATATAAAATTTTTTCATAAAGTTTTTACACATCATTTCTTGATAATGAGTAACAAGAGACAAGCAGCACATGGTAAGCAGAACGCCCACCAGAACCAGAAGGGCAAGCAAGCCGCACAAGCAGCAGCACCAGCAGCCGCTGCCACAGAGCAGAAGCCAGAAGCTCCAAAGGCTAACTGAGCTTCAAACATTTTAAACTGTGAGTAAACAACTATTACTATTGTTTAATTATTTAATTTTTTATTTAATCATCAAATGCTTGACCAACGCTTATCATTTGATTTATACTATTGCAATCTGTTATCATTAATAAGCATCATTATCACATAGAGATTATACACAAAGCACTTCATTACCCTATTTAAAAAAACATTTTAATTTATCTTTAATTTTCTATTTATAAGATATTTCACAAACTAAATTCATAGTAATAGAAAATAAAGCCAAGTGTTTTGTATAATTCAACAGTAATATGTGTGTAAGATTTCATTATAGAAATTCATTAGAAAAGACAGCAACACCTAGCATTTTCTTAGCACATTCGGATGTTTATATTGCAAAATGAGCTCAACAACCCTTCTTCAATGTCATTACATCGATTTAATCGTTCTGGAGCAAAAACTAATCAAAATTGCCTCAAGCCTTCTGCCATTCTAATCTATATTTAAATGATTATTATCTTGGATTATTGGAATGAGCGTTGAAGATCAGAGATATATTTGAATTATTTCAATTTCATATTCTCAAGTTTATTGTTAAATCCGATTGCCTGTCATCAAGATCTGTCTTCAATGTTCAAATATAAACCATATCAGATGAGAAATTTTGTAATTGATGATTCGGAAAAGAATTTGAATACTTTACAATTGTAGAGTTCTTTGAGAACGGCATTCTTTCAAAAAAAATTTTTTTATAGATGCTACCTTTCATTACATATTTCAAGCTTAGTAATATATTTGCTGACGTAACAGTTGAAGAAGTTAAAGCAGAAATTCTTGCTCATGCAGCCGAGTTTAATTTCAATAGAAAAACTTTAGAGGATACAAATACAACAGAAGATACAACAATATCAAACATTACATTCCATAAATACTCTGTTTATGACTTCCCTCCTTCAAACAAAAATGATATTATCCATTATTACTTAGAACAAACTAATACTTACGCTTATTATTATGCTTCTGCAAACGGCTCCGCATGGACTCGCACATCCATTAATGGTACATACTCCTCAAATAAATACACTTCCTTTGAAGCAACAACCTTCTGAGTTTTCCCAGTTTATTCAACAAATTTTGTTACTATCCACACTGAGCCTAAAGACGTCGTAATTTATTGTGTTGTCGCTCTTGTGTTGGTCGTTATTTGTGGTATGTTTTCATGCTGTGTTGACTACAACAGAAAAATTCATATTTTCAACTGTTGCAGAACAAGAGTTCACAAGCATAGACGTACGCACCACGCATTGAGGGCATCCCTTGATACAAATAATGATGATCATATTCAAGTAGACGCTGAATTAGCCAATATTCAGCCATCTCATTCAGATCAGCCATCAAATTACGGAGGATCTGTATCGACTTCCCCAGCCGTGCCAACTCAACCTTCTCCTTACGATTATGCACCACAATCTAATTCTGGTGGAGCAGCTCCTCAACAACAGCCTGCAGCACGTGACCCTTACGCTGACAACGCGGACAATTACGCCAATCCTCCTGTTGTTGTACAAAATCCAACTAATAATAACGATGATTGGGATTGAACTCTTTTTTTACCTTCTTTTTGTAAAATTTCGAATATATTGTTTAATTTTATTTGATAAAAATTATGGAAATTAAAACGTAATTCACAAATCTTTTTATTCTTTTAGTAACTTTTCAAACTAAGATCATACCATTCATATTTGGAGCCTGCTGATTCTGTTTATCTTATTTATTTTGAAATCTGTCGTTTAGATCTTCGTGGGATCTTTTTTTTGCGTGTAAACATTTCAATTCTCACAATTTTTGAAAGCCAGACGTGATGAATAAGAAATGGAGTTTTCAATAAAAAGAATGCCGACTGCACTCTAAATATCGCTTTCTATCTTGTTCTTCTTAGAATAATACTCTATTTTTATATGAATTTCCCATAGATTCATATAAAAGATAAGAAATGCTAAAAAAGGGAGAAAAAAAAAGTTGGTTTTTTATTTTTTAATCATGGTACAAATAACGAAATTGTGCAATGAATTAAAGCGTGCGCATGTTATTGCGGAACCAGGTGCGTTTCGCATCAATATTAATGATCGAATCATCAACACAAAGAAGTCTTCAGCGATTTGTTTTTCAGATTTAATCAAACAAAAGTATTTTATTGATAGATCAACCACATCATTAAAAACAAATCTAAATATCATATGTAAAGATTCAATTGATATACTTTCAAACTTTATAGAAACAGGAAAACTTGAATTTGAAGCAGATGAGCCTCATTATCATGACATATTTGAAATTGGCAAATATTTTGGAAATCAGATACTCATAAAAATATATGTCAAATATGTTAAATCAGACAAATCTCTTTCAATTGAAAACGTTTTTAAGAAATACGAAGTTTCTGCTTACGAAAATGATTCTACGACAATGAATGAATGCATCGAGTACATCTCGTCACATTTCTACAGTTTCAATGACGATGATATCATTACAAATTTTGTAAAAAATGGATTTGAATTTTGTGAAAAAATTTTGAAGTCAAAAGAACTGAAAATAGAAAATGAAGACAAACTATGTTTCTTACTTTTGGAGACTTGCAGAAGAGACAGTACATTATTTGATTTATTTGGCTATGTTAATTTACAATTTTGTTCTTCACAAGTTTATGACGAGATTTATAACTTTTCAGTTGAAAACTCTTATGAATCAAGTCTTTTAACTATTTATAATGAAACATTGAAGAATTACCATTCAAAATTAAGAAATAAATTTGAAATCTCAAATCAAACTATTGCATCTTTCGAAAAACATTTGATTCAAAATCAATTTCAAATATCAAATCATAGTTTTAGTGTTGGTATACCAAAATTTGTAGAAAAAGTTTCAAAAGAAATTCATATGGAAATGTCAACTTCAAGCATTGCTGATACTAGTTCTGATAAATCCACAATTAATTCTTATTCAAATAATGATCAATTCTTTACAAAAACTGAACCTAATTCATGGCTGAAGGCTGAATTAAAAGGGTATAAATTAAAACCAAAATCATATATTCTACAATCAAGATGTCTTGGTTCTTCTAATTTATTGAGAAGTTGGAAACTAGAAGGTATCAAAGAAGATGGAACATCTATTGAATTAGATAATCATTCCTATGAATTTAAACAAAGCGAAATCAAGGAATTTCCACTTCAAACTAATGATTATTTTGTTGCTTTCAAAATAACACAAACAGGAAAGAATTCTTCCAATGATCCGGATAATTGTTACTTTTTCAATATTAATGTTTTTGACTTCAACGGTGAATTAATAAAAATTTAACCATGTATCCATGCAACCAATATAATCAATTCTTAAACATCCTAATCACCATTATAAAATAGTTTCTTTAATCTGGTTTCATCGGCAAATATATACATAGTAAATGATTATGGAATTATATCAAAAACATGAATATTAGAAGATTCATCAAACAATTAAACTCAGAATATGTTGCATACATAGCAAATACATATGTCCGAAAAAGATGATATAGTCATATAATATTTAGGTTTCTCTAATGTCAGTAGTGTTATTTTATCCATTTTTATATATAAAATAATAGCTTATATGAAATTTATTTTGATTTTTACTCTCATTTTAAAACTTAAGTTTGTGGGTTCTAAAATTCCTTTTTCACAATGAAAATATATTAGATATACAGACTAGTCTATGTGTGTACATATTACTATAAACAATTTCCTATTAAAATCTTTCGACGGCAAGAGAGAGATTCACAAAGCCTCCTAAAACTTGTGGGAATATTAAAAATATGAGGCAATGCACTTGGACCCTTAAACACCTCCAACTTTGTGGAGTTGTATTTTCTCGGCAAACACATTCTTAATGTCTTTCTATTTTTAGATTAAATATATAAGATTTCTCTTAATTTGATAGTCAAAAATGAAATTTAAAAATAAATTAAAAATTGAAATAAAAATCCTCTTATTTTAATGATTTATTTCTTCTCAAAAGCAATAAGCTCCTTAACGAATGAAATTACGTTAATCTTCTTCTTCAATTCTTCGATATCTTTTTCAGATCCTTCATTTGCAGCGACATTTGCCTTGAGATCAGCGAGTTGTGTGTCAAGCCAAGCGTCTCCGTTGTCTTGAAGTCCCTGCATTACGTAAATGTAGTGTTCTAAGCCTCTTCTAGCGTGCATTTCCTGGATAAAGAGTGGATTACGACCTTCATCGAAGTAATCCTCTGCAAGTTGGTTGCCTTCGTCGTTGAGACCTAATTCGCCTTCGATATCATTAATTTGAACGCGAGTACCGCATTTTTCGTTAAGGAATTCAACGTAGTTTGGAATCTTTCTCTTGCCGTAGTATTCGGATGGTTTCTTTTCACCACGAACGAATAATCTGATATCTGGGAAAACAAGGGTTTCGTATTCATGGACGAAGTCACGGTAACGATCAACATCGATTGTAGCAATAGCAATTTGTGGTTCCTTGTAGAATAACCTTGCCAAACGGTTTAATCTTGGTTTGTTACGTATGCAAGCCTGGCACCATGGTGTTTCGAATGAAGTTAAGACGCAAGCATGATCCTCGAGCATCTGCTTGAATGTCTTGCTATTTGGCTGCTTAACTATTAATTTTGGTTCAATTGGTGTTTCTTCAGAGATATTAGCGCCCCATTTGATGAGAGATTCGTAGGAGAAGCCACCATTGTACTCTTCCATTGTTTCTCCGCAGAACATTCTGACTGTTGGAAGATTATAAACGTTATGCTTAACACAAAGATGGCGATACTTGCCGCAATCCAAACCAGCAATTGAGATCTTGCTGCTACCATTAAATGCCTTTGCGACAAGGTTGTAGTCGCGGAAACTTCTTGTTGATGGTTCCTGGTGCATTGAATAATAACGAACCATTACGCACTTGTTCATTTTTGTCTTTTGGTCAAACTCTTCTGGTTCTATAGGAATGAAGTTCCTAATACTTGCAGCAAGCGAAGTAAAAGCAAAAATCATTTTTTATTTAGATAAAAAGTGACAAAAATCAAATGGGAAATGATTTCTGATTTCTAGTAGCTGAGATTCCTAGAATAGCAGTAACACAAAGCCCTCTATTGAAATTAATGTTATTTTCTACTATTGGATAAACTTTCAAATAAAAATATTTGGAATATTTCAAAGTTGAATGGAAATAGAACTAAAAATCATCAAACCTTGTATTACTTGTGTTAGATGAATGGATAAATCCGCATGAAAAGTTATATTAAATATTTTCATATTGAAATTTTCAAAGAAAAGAAATAAATCTAAAACACAAAGTTTTATAACGCTATATACAAAACAAATAACATATAAATAATATATAAAATACATGGTAAATAAACAAAACAAAAAAAATTAAAAATTACCAATTATTTGCATCCCAGTAATTGGTAGATGGATTTTGTTTCTCAGCTTTCTGTTTCTGCTTCCTTGCTGGAGGATGTTCTCGGTCAGAAAAGTCAGAATCTGAAGATGAATAGTAAGCTGACTTATGGGCCTTTCTTTTGAGTTTCTTATTGAATACATTCTCATTTCTTGCGTTTCTCTTCGAGTCATTGTATTCTTTGAGTGAAGGGGAAGAAGATGAGTCATAATTCTTCTTTTTCTTAAGGATATAAAGCATTGTAGAAGCAATAATTACGATTATGATGACTAATAGTATTGCTGCAGCTATGATTGTTATCAAAATTAGCTTCCTCTGCTTATTCAATTCTATTTCGTCAGAATTCGTTGGAGTTGGTGGTGCATCTGGCTTATCGTTAGTATCTCGTTGAACATTGATAAGATTGATGGAGTCAGGAGCGACAATATTGATGTTTTCGCCCCTGGTTTCATATTTAAGGTTAATTTTGGTATTTTTGTCACTTTTTGGAACAACCACTTTCAATTTACTTTGGTCCTCCAAAATAAATAGCACCGGAACTTCAGAGATGCCTTTAGAATCGATGTAAACCTCTAATGGACTATCTTTGTTCGAGTTAATTATCGAAAAATTATTCTTCGAAGAAACGGAAGCCGGAATCGATGCAGAAACTCCAATTTTTGAGAGAGCCTTAACTTCCTTGGCCGAAACATTGATTCCAAGAAGGTCTCCGTCTTTTGAGTCGATCGAAATCGAAGAATCAGAGATAAATGACGGCGAAATGTACGATAGAGATGATACATCAACTATTGCGCCCATGGATGACAACTTTAGACCTGAATTTTCTGATGTCACATTTAATTTTGTGGCATTTCTTTTATCTAGAGAGGCAATTGTGCATGGTGTGTTACCTACTGTCGACATGTAACCATTTGGATAAGCAAGAAACACTGATTCCCTTGAATTTGATTTCAATTTTTTAATTTTTGATTGTAAAGACATGAAATTGGAATGATTCGCCAAAGCAATGACCAATTTGCGGTTTTCTGTTGACAAATTATATACTTTCAAGCCAATTATATTTTGGATTTGATCATCTTGAAAACTAACCGTCGAAACACCGAAAAATGAAGAGTATTTGGTTTTGATAAGTACTTCTTTGCTATTATCAACATATTTCTGTGTATTTTGAGGGCAAATAATTCTAGAACTGTTTCCAGAGAGAGAATTAACATTTTGTATGGAGAATTCATCGGAAACAATGTTGTTGAACACTAAACTGAAGGTCTGTGAGTCTCCTGAAGCATCTTCTACCTTACAATTTTCAAATTCCATTTCTCCGTATTTCAAATTGCTGTTTAGCAACAAATAGCTGTTCTTCGCTGTAATGGAAATATCATCAGCATTAACAGATATGTTTAAATAAGTTGAAAAAGGATCATTTTCATCTCCGAAAACATTTATATGGAAATTGCTCTGAATTTTTGAACGAGATATCACGGTTACATTGATTTTGGCCAAAAAGTGGATTGTCAGTTCATTTTGGTCTAATCTGAGATTACCATCCATTTCGAAGTTTTTCTCGGTAAAAACCAAGATCATTGTACTTGGAGGACAACGTTGTTGCTGATCCGATACGATACAAATGGATTCTTTCGATGATTCTGGATTTGGTTTCGCATTATTTGTAGTTTGGTCTGAAAATTGGTAGTTAGGAGTTGGTGGTGGTAAAGGAGGTGAATTTGGAGCATCCTGTAATTGTGAAGTCAAGATTTCCTGATTTTCGGAAATATTTTGGAGATTTTCATCAGTTAAAGATGAATTATCTGTATGTGAACCATTTGCCGATGGTTCGATTGATGATGGCTCACTTCCTGAGTCATTATCTTGAGAATTCTGTATTTCTTGAATTAAACGAATTTCTGTTGGATTTGAAGGCATTTCTTCTTGAAGAATCTGTTTGTAATTTATTTGAGCATCTTCTAATGATGGTTGTAGTTGTTTTGAGGAAAATTTATTTGTCAAACCAGATTTTTGATCGTTTTCTGTTCGTTCATGGTTTTGACCATCATCTTTGCTGAGTATTGTATTTAGAGGATCAGAAGTTCGAGATAATTGATTAATGTCTTGATTTGAAATTTTTCCATTTTCGCTAGAAATCTGATCCAATATGTTATTATTTCGTTGTATCTGTGATGAGGTGTATACGCTGGACTGCAGTAAATTCTGGAATTCGAAATTTGATAATTTACTATATTTTAATTTCGAAAGATAATTACTAATAACCCTTGGACAATTGTATGTATTTAATAGCTTGTCTGTTATCTGTTGAAAGATCTGAAATTTAGGAAGGATGTTTTGGAAAATCATTCGATATTTGATTAAATTAGCTCTATCTGTATTTTCAATTGATATATTTCGGTTATGCGCATGAAAACGATCAGTGTAATAGGACTTACCCCGATCAACTTGAGGTATATACGAGCTTAATGATGAATAATCATCAGAAAAAGCCATTTTCACTGGAATATCAATTTCTAATGGATCCTTTTGGATGTTATTTAGTTTGGTCCTCTGTACTAAAAGAAGGCCAAGGACAAAAAACATCCAAAGTCCTTGAATTAAATTTTATTTAAGGGTGCACCCGTATGTACGTTTATTTGAGAGGAGGAGGATTACCCTCTCAATTTTGAGGGATTCGTTAGTTTATTTTCTCGATGAATATGCAATAAAATTTGATTTTTACCTTATCAATATACTTCATATAATATACACATGTTCATGTAAAAACTTTTTCCCAAAATCCTCAGGAATTAAGCGATTTTTGAATTTTAAGAATTTTTTTCGAATTTTTTCGAAAAAAAAATATTTTCAGAACAGCCTTAACGGCTAAGATTTAGGAACAATGTTAAGTATCAAAAAGAAAGGAGGTCTGATATAGACAAAATATATCGTTGAAGGTTGAAAAAATCTCTAATATTTGAGCCCAAAATTTCAAATTTTAATTTTTTGAAAAAAGAGGCCACCCGTATGTACGTTTATTTGAGAGGAGGAGGATTATATTTTTGAAAGGGTGAAACATTATGAATATGTTAATTATATAATAATATGTATTATTATAAAAAAGAAAAATAAAGCACGTTAAAATTTTTCTTTCTTGATTTTTTACAAAATCTACTTAGAATTATGCAAAATATGACTAAATAATTATAAATTTCAAGTTAAATTTTAATTTTGATAAATAATTTAAATTTCAAAATATCAAGTTCAGTTCGACTATGTATGTAGTAATTCCTCAATAAAGTGCCAAAACCCTATTAAAATATATGAACATTTTCAACATTTTAATGTTTTTATTTAAAAATTTGATGGAATATGAGCTTCAAACAATTATTATGTAAATAAAAATAATTAAATATATGTATTTATTCGTATTACAACCGTAGTAAGTCGATTCTTCCTTTCTTCTACTGAGTTTTGAATTTGATTTCGAATTGTAAAGAGATTCAAAGGGAAAATACTAGCGGATAAAAACTACCTCCATAAAAGGGTCATAATGGAGTCAAGTTGTATTTTTTGATATTTTTTGCTTTTCGAGCCTAAATAGGTAGCCAAGATAATGCCTAAAAATAAGGTTCTAAATTCTGAAGTTTACATGATCCTCTCGTGTGCACCCTTAAGTTAAATTCAAAACACATCTAAATCACTTATGCATTCTAATTATGATAATATATTATGGTTTCATTAATATCCAAATGTAAACTATTCAATGTGTATGAGGTTTTCAAGAGGAAAATTTTTCAATACAAAAGGTTAACTTTTGTTCATCACTATTTTAAATCAATATTAAACTGTGAAATTTTTTCAGATCTAACGTATTTTTTTCAGTTTTGGAAATAAGATTAATAATTGGTAATTGGAATCGTTTTGAGGCGATCTATAGATTATATATCTCATATGGATAATAAATATATCTAAGATTACCTCAATCAAGATGTATATAATCGCAAAATTTGAAAGAAGCAGAACCATGAGGCGATTCTATTCCTAAATGAATCAAATTTTACTTGAAATTGGGTATGGTCATGTCATGAGTTTATACCCCATTTGAACAAAAGCCCATTGCGATTCTCATGACCATTTGTAACGTTTTCGTCGGTACGAAATGATATATGAATTAGACACAAAATTTTATCATGAAACATGCAAAATATATGTCCATAATTAGAAATCGAAAAATCTCTTGAATCAAACCTTTTGGATAAAGAGAATTTCTTAATGAAATATTACACTCCTCTGCTCTCTAGAGGTGATTATTAATTCACTATACAATAATTTGGGTTAAAAATTGAAAATTTTTCTCAATAATCTTATTTTATTAATAAAAACATTTACATGAGATTTTATTCTCCATCAGCTTCTTCATCACCTCCTTCTTTCTGTGATCGTAAGAAGTTAACTGGATCAGAGATGTTGTACATTATTCCACCACGAGTAAGAACAGCAAATCCTTTATCCGTAACTGTTGCTGTTGAAACAAAAGGTGTTTCTGAAAGGAATTTGCACCTCTTAAACTGACCAACGTCTTGATCTGGTTCAACAAGAGTCATTCCTTCATCAAATCCGATCGCAGCAATGCACTTATTGTCAGAAGTCCATAGAGCAGCTGTTCCATTCTTGGATGCTGGTTTTGTAGTTGCCATTGAAGTTTTAAGGCGTCTTGAATCGTAAATTCTAATACGTCTGTCATCACAAGCGACAATAATCATTGAATCATGGCAATAAATGGCCTTAGGCTGTGAAGATAATACAGCTGATCTTTCTATTTGATCTAAACGAGAATCAACAACATTAATTGTGCGATCATCAGTAAAAACAAAAATGTTGTTATCGTATGCGCTCAAACCATTTGGAATACCTGGAGATGTAAATGTATTTACAGTTTTGAGGGTTTCTGGATCAATTACTCTAAGTGTATGTGATAAGTCATGAGCTGCAATGATATTATTCGCAGTCTTTTCAAGACCGGAAAAGATGCCTGCATAAGCATTTATTGGATTCGTTAATGTGTTCTCCTTTGAATGGAAAGTTACTAATCCTTTAGCATCTATTGTCAAAAACTTGTTGTTGTATGTTAATATATCGTAAATTGGACTATTTGCAGTGTAAATTACTTCTCCACCATTTTTGATTAGCTTGTTACCATCTGTGTAATATGGTGTTGCATCTTCAAATGCAATTCTTCGTCTATAACAACCAACGGAAACTGATGTTGGGGATAATTTCACTGATTCAACACTCATTGATTTGTGTACTGGCAGAAATTAAATTTGTCTTTAAATGAAGATAAATCTCTAAATATTCTTATTATTTTAGATTATCATTAATGATTAAGTTCGACCAAATAATGTCTATCGTTTGGATCTTTTTCATAACAATAATTCTGCAACAAACATTGATATGGTATTATAACAACAAAAAACAAGATTTTTATCATTTAGATGTTTTATGGTTTGATTTTGGTTGAGAAAAAATGTAATGAGAGATGCAATTGATTCAATTCAAAGAGTAATTAGGGATGAATTAGCATGAAGAATTCATAAAATAGAATTTCAATTTATAAAATCATGGGTATGTCCAATAATTATCTTTAATTTGAGATAGAATTCACAATAATTTTTTATTTATTAGATATTTCTATAATTTATTGAAATACACATGAAGTTAAATATATTGCTCATATTTAAATTCGATTTTAAATATGTTTTAATTTCCAATAAGGATGTTTAACTTAAAAAAAAATTAGCCCTGGGATCCCAAAATTGACAGTTTTTAGCCCAAGCATTTTTTTTGAGCCATTTCTATGAGTTATATGATATAATACACTTAATATAAATAATTCTTACTTTTAGTCACGAAAAAGCATTTTGCGATTTTTGCAGACGATTATTTGGGATTATCCCATCCCGGGTCCAATTCAAAATTTGAAAGGAATTGAGAATGGGATTGGGATTAATCCCAATCCCAATCCCTAATAATCGTCGGATTAGATATTGGTAATTATTTTAAATATATTTCAATAGTAGTGAATTTTCACTACTACAAATAACTAGTTCAAAGCAATTTTTGAAAAAAATTAAAATAACAAAAATATACATTTTTGAGATCTGAGATATGAATAATAGTTCCTATGTCTTGGAAAATAAATCTGTGGATTTGTTTGATCAGAAAACATATTCAAGCAGATTGAATTGAATAACATATGATAATAGAACAGCGTCAATGAAGCGATTAATATAGAAATGCTTTTTTGTTATGTGTGATGAAGATATTAGTTAATGAATTATGAATATCAAAATAAATAAAATCAATTACTATGAAATTTTTATTAAATCTATCAAAATTTATATCCACAGTATGAGTTGGTATCAATGGTGGTAAGAATAGGCTCTGTTAATGAAAGCATCTAAACTTCCAGCCTAAGACCAAAAAGTGTCATTGTTGCATGGGATGGGACTTCCAACTGGAGTCGCATCAGGCTATACACTTGCTGGAACGGTAAGCAGCCTTTGATCTAATCAATCATAATGCTGCTTCATCCATGCCAGCAAGTGTTTTCGAAAACATATGATGCATCATATGTGTATTCAGTCTTTTGTGAGAACTCTGCAAACCAAAAGTGCAATGTTCACATAGTCTGGCTGTCAGGATATAGTAGCTAAGCTGTGTGGACATTGCGCTTCTAGAGATATACTAGTAATCCGATGTTGGCCAAATGCACTACATTACTTTCCACAGGTTCCCAAAGAGCCCGGTACTTCGTAATTACATGAATAGGGCCAAGTTCTTCCGAGGCCTCTCATTGAATGAGAGACTTCGGAAGAACTTGGTCCTAAAGTATTCCTACTACTGTTCTCTGGTCTGTAAAGGACTAAATAAGCTACAATTTGTCGATAAGAATAGAATTCCTCCGAAGTCTCCCATTCAATGAGAGGCCTCGGAGGAATTCTACTCCAAGGTAATGTGCTTGTAGTTTCTGACTTTCTATTGAACGGAAAATGTAATTTTACTCGAAAAGAGCAAAAGTTCTTCCGAGGCCTCTCATTGAATGAGAGACTTCGGAAGAACTTTTGCTCTAGTGTAATGCACGTATATTCTTGGGTTCATGGAGAGCGAGAGAATTTGTTTGTAATTCGTTTTGCTGAAGTTCTCCGAATTTCTCTCAATTGAGGAAGGAAATCCGGAAAACTTCAGCATGAGTTAATTGTGGTGTAACTCTCTGGGTATTTACCGGCCAGAGAGCGAGTAAAATATTAGAGAGCGCATAGTCTCAGTATAGGTATGCGTACTGTAAATATACGTTATTTTTTACTTTCGTATGAAAAAAATAGCTTCTCATTTTTATGCTTCTATATGCTTTGTTACTAAGTAAATCGCCTATTTTCTTATTAAAGCCTAATTTTTCCACGTGATTTAGAATCTCTGCATCCCAAAAATTCGTTTTCTGCGTTCAGAACGCGAAAATATGCAGTATATCTCAAGATAAAGAGGATATCATCATTACATTTATGAACAATTTTTGAATTTCTATTAAAAATCAAAAAAGAGATCATAATCAGATAGATATCATAAAATAACATCTATCTACCGTGTTTTATTTTGCTGAAAATCTCCAAAAAAATCTTGATTTTGCAAATTTGATAAGAAAAACTACAATTTTGATGACAAAAATTAGCAAAACTTAATTTTTTTGGAAAATATAAGAGAAGGATTTCCCTTTATCTTGAGATATACTGCATATTTTCGCGTTCTGAACGCAGAAAACGAATTTTTGGGATGCAGAGATTCTAAATCACGTGGAAAAATTAGGCTTTAATAAGAAAATAGGCGATTTACTTAGTAACAAAGCATATAGAAGCATAAAAATGAGAAGCTATTTTTTTCATACGAAAGTAAAAAATAACGTATATTTACAGTACGCATACCTATACTGAGACTATGCGCTCTCTAATATTTTACTCGCTCTCTGGCCGGTAAATACCCAGAGAGTTACACCACAATTAACTCATGCTGAAGTTTTCCGGATTTCCTTCCTCAATTGAGAGAAATTCGGAGAACTTCAGCAAAACGAATTACAAACAAATTCTCTCGCTCTCCATGAACCCAAGAATATACGTGCATTACACTAGAGCAAAAGTTCTTCCGAAGTCTCTCATTCAATGAGAGGCCTCGGAAGAACTTTTGCTCTTTTCGAGTAAAATTACATTTTCCGTTCAATAGAAAGTCAGAAACTACAAGCACATTACCTTGGAGTAGAATTCCTCCGAGGCCTCTCATTGAATGGGAGACTTCGGAGGAATTCTATTCTTATCGACAAATTGTAGCTTATTTAGTCCTTTACAGACCAGAGAACAGTAGTAGGAATACTTTAGGACCAAGTTCTTCCGAAGTCTCTCATTCAATGAGAGGCCTCGGAAGAACTTGGCCCTATTCATGTAATTACGAAGTATCTGACATTTTAGGAGCGAGAGAGCGGTAGTATAAGTGCTTGTGTGCAATAACGTTTAACTAATATCGCTAGAAGCACAATAATTTTGCGGCCTAACTACTATATCCTAGTAACTAGGCTGCACAATTATTGTGCTTCTGGTTTGCAGAGCTCTTATGGGAGACCAAGCTGAGGTCTGATGCCAGAACCACTTGCTGGTATGAATGAAGCAGAACTATGATTGGTCAGAACAAAGTCTGCGCATCATCCCAGTAAGGGGATGGATGAGCGTGACTCCAGCTATGATCTTCCATATAGAAATGACACTTTTGCGCTTTTTGGCGGGAAAGTTTTGAGTGGGTACTTTGCGCTAGCCCATTCTTACTACCATCACAACCCATTCATACTGCAGTTATAGGGTTTAACCTTTTTTTGGCATAATTTCAAATTTCTAATTTATTAAACTTTTCAATTTATGAATATAAGCGATATTATATCTAAAATTACACAATTTGCTTATAATATTATACTTTTATAGATAAATATTTTTAATCTCTTTTTGCCTTCGCCCATTTTTTTATTTTTTTCTTGAAACTCATTGAAAAATTTCAATATGGGATGGATGGTATCTCAAACTTCAAGTAGCCCAAGTGGATTCGGGATTTCCTTACATCCTTATTTCCAAAAAAAAATCTGAAAATCTCAAAATGAAATTAAAAAATAAGAATTTTCTGATAAAAATCATAAAATGAAAAAATTTTGGAAAATAGAAAAGACGCCATTTTGATTATCTATTTCAGTAATTGCAAAATTACGTCAAAATATTGCTTATTCAAAATTATTATTGACCAACAATCAATGAAAATCAATTTTGAGCTTATGATAAATAGATATGACAAATGGAATCTCTAATAACAGTAGATTTATTCTTTTTTAATAGATAATGTGAAGTGAAGACATGTGACATAAAAATCAAAATGAAACATCCAGGGCGCGCTCTTTTGGGATTAATTCTGTTTATATTTTCAGCCATCATGCTCGCCAAAACAAATAAAACAAATGAATCAATCATTAAAAACTCATGCACACCGATAATTACGTTAATAATAACAACAGCTTTGTATACGTACATGCATATGAAGTATGTTTATGGAAAGAGACGATCAGAAAGAGTTACTTCTGAGAGATGGTTTACAGTTAATGCTCCTATTGCCATTGCAATCGTTCTTTTACACGTAATTACCTGCATAACAGCAATTGTTTCATTGACAAAGTTCAGCATTATTTTTGGATTGTTAAATCCGATATCATTTTATTTCATGTTGATCAATCTTTGTAAATAAATAGATATTTTGTAGTGATTTTAGTAAATTACGCGTTTTATCCCTATCTTTATTAATTACATTACTAATACGAATACGGCTATTGTAATATTAAGCTTTCTTTTACAATTTTTATAATGTTCGAATATTTTATGGGATTTCCAGCTTTGGTAAACCTGAACCTGCTACTACATGAGAATATAGAATAATTTCATTGATATCGGATAATGTCGTATTTGGAAAATGTTTGATCACAAAAACTTCTTACAAAATTTTTAAATTTTACTCTGTTGTTATTGTATAATTGATTTTGATAATGAGGTATTCAATAAATTTTTACATTTTTATATAAAAACTTTTTCAAAATCTTCGACCAATGCAGACGCTTAACAATAACGATGCTCTTTCTACGATGGTATCTCATTACAAATATGCAACAATGCGGTATTCATCGAATATATTAGACAAAAACTGCAGATTTTCTCATTATAACCGTTTTAGAAGAGCTTGGGAATATATCATGTTCTTCCTATCGTTAATGTGCTTTGCAGAGATTACGTTCGTTTACTTTATTTATCCACAGCTTAAATTCGTTTATTATATTCCATTTTTTATACCAGACATTCTATTTGCGGCAGATCATTTCATCATCAGAAGAACACTCTGTATCTCAGGAGGCGAAATTGTTGATGACACAGAGAAAATCAAGAAAGCTTACGGAAATTTTTTATTAATTATACACTTAATATCAATATTTCCACTTTCATGGATAGGAATCATCATCAAATATAGACACGTATATCTAATTCTCTCATTAAACAAGATGTTACGCATCACAAGAGCTTATACAACCTTTATGAACATAAACAACCTATTACCATATATGGGAAGTTTTGCTACTATCATTCCGGCATTTATGATTCTGCTGTTCGTTACTCACATTTTTGCAGTTATTATGATTATAATTTCAAATGCCGAGAGCAAGCCAGAATCATGGACAACGCCATACAAAGATCGCGGTTTTACACCTATTATGTTATATATCACCGCTATTTACTTTGTTCTCACGACAGTTTCAACAGTCGGATACGGAGATATCACTCCAGAAACGAATGTCGAGGTTATAACCATTATATTTGTACAGATTATTGGTGTTATCATGCATACAGCCATTATTGCCCGTATGATTTCCGTTTTTGTGAACACATTGGAGCAATCTTTCATTACACAGTACAAAGTTGCCCAAGATTTCATGAAATTCAAGAAAATCGACAACGAGCGAAGGAAAGAAGTTCGAAATTTCTGTCAATACTACTGGGAAACGACAGGAGCAACAGGAGGAGTTCGAAATCTCCTCAGAAACATTCCAAAAGCACTCAGAACAACCATCAAACTAGAGATGACAAGACCATTCTTCGATGCTACGGTCAGTTTCAACGCTTTGAGTCCCGGCCAACTAGCAAAAGTGGCACATGTCATTAAACATATCACTTTTTCACCGGGAAGTTATTTGTGCAAACAAGGGGAGAAATGCAACTTCATGTTGTTTGTCGGCCGTGGCATTATCTCCATAATTGTTGACGATGTCGCAATAGCGAGCGAGAGCTGTACGCAATCAACAGTTCATGGAGAGAATCAGATGCTTTTAGGAACAAATTGTGCGACATCAATAAGAGCTTTGACATATGTTGATGCATGGGTTTTGTATCAGGAAGATCTCTCGAATTTGATGAGACACCATGGATACATTAGGAACTTGATGATGCAGAGCATTGCTTCTGCTTATCCTGTTATGTTTGATGACATTGCAAACCACATGTTGGGAGACATCGCACCGAAATTGTTGTTGAAGTTTAGGAAACAAAATGGAGAAGTTTTCCAAAACAGAATTCCAACAATGAGACTTTCTGAATCAAGGCCAAGAATGGACATGATCATTCAGAACTTGTCTGGCGGTGAAACTGATGCGGGAATGGACAGTGGTTTGAGGAAATTGGATGAGAAAGAGGATGAGGAAGAATCATCAACTTCTTCATCTTCTTCGTACGGAAACTCTAAAGTTAGACCATTTTTGTAATTGTAATCAATAATAAATTGTTTGTTATATATTTTCTTTTTCGTATTAAATTCACTAATCTAGATTTTTTTGTAGTTATTTTATAAAAGAACGATCAATGGTTTCAATCTCCAAACTTTCCAAAAAATGAATACATTTAAATAGGAATACATGTTACTTAAGTAACTTTTATAATGTGTCAGCATTTACTCCTTTTTCTACCAACCTTATATCTCTGTTTGTTTCAAGTCATAGGAATATTTGTAATTAAGATAACCCTCAAATCTTATGATATGATTCTAGTGTTACTCATATGAGACATTTTTTTTCAAGGATGACCAAGTAATTCCTTAATATACCGCTAGAAATTTGGATTCTATCTCATTATTATAAGTCAATACCTTGATACATCTAGTCAACCATTTGTTTATAACTTGATTGATTTGATATTTAAACAAAGAATTATTATACTAAAAAACAAACAATAATTAATTTTTATAAAAAATATAAAACAAAATAAAAGACAAAATTATGCTTTGAGATTTCTTCTGAATAATGTTAAATTAACACTATCATAAACAAGTTCCCAGATAGAGTTATTCAAGTCAGGAGTGAATTTCGGAGATGATTCATCACTTTGGAAAAGGTACCAAATATTTTCTTTATCATATTCCAGGACATTTTCCGGTTGAGTTCTCAACAAATGTAAGTGATGACGCCTTCCGTAGTAATCCAAACCATGTGTCTCTATCCATCCAGAGAAACCAAGCATCGAAATCCTTCCTCCAAGAGAAGAAGGAGATTGTTCATGTGAATCATCATTAACGAAAACATCATTAACTCTTGTGTTTTCCGCAACCCATTTTCCGAATTTCAGTTTATCAGTGCTGTATAATTCAGCAGGAGTTGAAAGATAGAAGATGCAATGAATTGTTCCGCTGCAGCAAGTCATGAAAAGCAAAGCAAAGAAAGTCATTTTGTTGAGTATTGGTCTTTCTCCTCTTTTATATCTATTGTAGAAACCAAATATAAACTGTGTAGCAAAAGGAAGTGCAATGGGCATCCATCCATCGTAATATATCTTTATATTGTCCCAAAGCCAATCTTGGTATCTCACAAAGTTCGCAATAAAGAAAACAACTAAAGAAGGAATATAAAGAACAATTTGTTCAGTGTTTGCTTCAGCCCAGCCTCCTATCAACGCGCCAAAAGCAAATACACCAAGGCTAAGCCACCATGTCTTATAGAAACCAACAATTCCTTTGCCGTATCTTTTGTAAACAGGTTCAATTTGCAAAAATGATTTTCTTGCAATTGAAATTCGTTGGAAAAATGGTGGCAATTGAGGAATAGCCATTGCATTTGCAACAACACCATACAATAACCACAAAAAGAAGAATCTTTTCCACTTTTCGCGTGTCAAATATGGAAAAGTTATAATTGCATATGTAATTGACCATTGAGCAATGGCCATGTAAGCGTGGGCTTGTACTTGAGGCATGTATCCTGTTATTAATGATGCAAGGAACATTAATCTGAAGTCTTCCAGCTTAACTGCGTGAATTAAAAGATAAATTGTCCAAAAACAGAGAGGAACTGCAAACAAAGAGGATCGTTGTGGTAATAAGAGATGCATCAATGTTTGAAACCAATATCCATCAAAATCATTCGTCCAATGATGAATAAAATCACATCTTTCGTGTTCGTCCCATTGCTTGGTTTTATCGAAGAGTAAAACGAAGGCAAGGCCTCCTGTAGTCATGAATATCAATAATGACATGACACTTTGGAATTCGTCTTTCAAAATGTAATTTGTTAATTGATATACGGCAATTACAAGGGAAAGCATCATTATTTCGGAAGGAAAGAATAAGGATTTCTGTAATGAAGCATCTCCTGTTGTTACAAGTGCTGCAGATAGGAAATCAGGGATTAATGGATAGGCCAAGTTTTTGCCATGGTAAAATGGAGAATCTATCTTGTAAAACTCTTCTCGTCTGTATGCTGGACCGTATGAGAATGATGTGATGATGTTTAAGTGAAAAGGAAGGTCTGAATAAGCTGCTCCTTTTGAATAGCGATCGCCTGCTAAATTTGCAGAGTAGACAGCTAATGTAAGGAAAAAGGAACATAAAATAACTGCCCATCTATGAAAATAATCGAATGTAATTTGAACTTTGAATTGAATATTTCGATTTAAGAATTTTAATATGATTCCGAATAATCCAAATGTTGATAGAGCGAGATATGCATGCATATTTGTCATTGGAATGAAATAAGAGACAATCAATATTAACCATGCAAATGAAATCAGTCCAATAGGAAGTCCAATTGCTAATCTAGTGAAAAATCCGAAGAATCTGTGAGTGAGCAATGTTGTAAATTGATATCCAAAGAAACAACATGAATAAATTTCTAATGCCCACAGATAATTCAGATTGATAATCATAAAATTATGAACCATTTTATGTACGATTGACCAAATTTAGCTATAAACTATCAAATACAATTACTGTTTAGGGATAGTTTGATTAAAATAAGATATGAAATAAAATGAAAGTTTATAACATGAAATAAGACATTAAGAGATATATGATGCATTTCTGACAAGGAATCTTGTTCATTCTTACTTGGTGATGAATTCTTGCTAGATTTATCGAAATCATGATATTTATTTCTTTGTTATAGAGAATAGCATGTTATCAGTAAAGTCCAAAGACTAAACTACTGAATGATAATCTATTCATGCTTAAATTAGGAAATTTTTATAAACTATTCTTTATAATTTTACATAAAATACTGTATGAAATACACTATCATTTCTTAATTGATTCTATAGCTTCCTTAATAACAGAATACCAAAGCTCTGTCTCATCAGTGTCACATGTAATTGAATATTCTGTTGTTGTCACTCCATTAACAATAATAAGCTGATTTCCTTCAGTTCTTATTGTTGTGGTTGCTTCTAGAGGAATTTTCTTCTTGATTTCGGAAGCATCAAGGTTAGTAATAATTAATTTCGGTGGATCAATGAGTAGAAGCGTCCTCTGCTTGTTCTCAAAGATAATGTTACCTTCCTTAATAACGATTTCATCATCAGTATATACATTTTTTTGAATCTCATTTTCTTTCTCTTTTTGTTGAGCCAAAACAGCTGGTTCGTATGGTCTAAATCCTTCTAAAGCTGCTAATGGAAGATCATCCCAATTTAAGCCTTCAAAGAACGGATGAGACCTGATTGTTTGGTAATTTGTATCACAATCACCATAACCAAGTCTCTCTTCTGGTTTGACTTTAAGTAATTTCTGAATAATATCCTTTGCATCTTCGGGGACATAATCAGGAATGACGTAATTGCCAGATTCAATCTTTTGGAACGTATCATAATTTGAACCAGTATGGAAAGGAGAGTATCCAGTAATAAATTGGAAAATGAGACATCCAAATGCCCATAAATCTGTGGCAGCTGATATTGTCGTTTCATTTAGTGTTTCTGGGGAAACATATTCTGGACTTCCAACAAAACTACCGCGCTGACTATAGAACGGTTCGTTTTCTTTGTAAATTTTAACAGTTCCAAAATCGGTAATTTTAACTCTGTTGTAGTGGTCAAGTAATATATTTTCAGGTTTAATGTCTCTATGGATAATTCTGTGCTGGTGCATATGAGCTAAGGCTAAAAGAGTTTGTCCAAGCAGCTGTTTGGCAATTGGTAAATCAATTGACTTGTATTGATTTAATACATGCTGCAAATCACCATTTTCGGCAAGTTCTACGACGTAGTAAAGATTTGATGGATCTTGAAATGTTAAATATAAGCGTATAATATTTGGATGCTTTAAAGTTGTCATTGCATCTCTTTCTAATAAAACATAGCTAAGTTTTTTCTCTCTTGCAATACGTGACTTCGACAGGACTTTCATAGCATAGTATTTTCCTGTTTCAATATCTTGCACTTTAAGTACTTCTCCGAATGCTCCGCGTCCAAGAACTCTTCCTATATTAAAATCATTCTTTCTTTTCTGTCTTTTCTTTCCAGGAGTTGTGGGCGTGGGTTTAACATCGGAATGAACGACTGGTGGAGGAAGACTGTGAGGAGGAGATGACATCTTATCGAATAATTAATCATCGACTTGTGAAAACAACGCTATATTAGATGAATATATTTAAAATGATATCGAGATCTTCTATCTTTTTCGGCGATCAAATTATAAATTTTCAATACGCTATCGATTTTATATCTCGAATTTGAATCAATGCTATATAAAGTCCCATAAGTTGTATTTATGCAGCGAATTCTTTCCAAAAACGAAAAAATTTCTAATTTACAAACATATGATTTTACAAAACAAACAATATATACAAAATAGAATTATTATGAATCTCTAGGCACAAGAGGCGATTCAAGGGGTGCGCTTTTTTCTTCTTCTGTTGGAGGTGCAAGTGTAATGAAAGTTGATTGTGAATAAGCCGTTGAAATACATCTTAAAAGTACATTAACTGAGTGTTCAAGTGTGAAACAACACTCATATGCACTGTAATCGTCAAGCACAGCATCATGGAATAAAGGAGAAATTACTTTAGATAATTCCGTTGCAGCTGATTTATACTTACAATTTTCAATCATTTCTTTCGCTTTCAACAATCTCGAATCTCTTGATAAACCGAAGATTTGAGGTGTGGCTTCAATGACTCCAGAAGCACTGAATATTCCGCAATAAAGACATAAGCATCTGAAGTCGAATTCATTGATGCGATTTGAGTTTCCGAAGAAAATTTTGATTAATTGTTCGGAATTTTCTGGTTTCAGTGACATTTTGACATTCGACAAAAATGAATTAAATTTTTCTCGATCTATTGTGTCTTTATCACCAAATCTCTTCATGAGGCACATGCTTTCACAGAATCTGCTTTGAAGAATATTCTCGAAACAGAAGCACAACAAATACAGCAACTCATCAATTGATGCGGGCATAAATTGGCCAACAACATTTCTTGCGATGTTCACAATCGAAAAACCAAATGGAGAAAACAAAGTTTCAGCAAATTTGATGGGATTTGCTAAACTCGATTCGTTTGCATTTGCCAAGATAGTTGTTGCAAAGTTAAATGTATGCCTGTTCCATTTCTCGTTCTTCAACATCAAAGCAACATATAATAAAGGATCAGAATCTTTTTTAGATGTTGAAATTCCTTCAGTAATTTTCCTGAGTAAATCTCTATAATTTTGTTTCGATGTTTTGCTGGTTGCGAAGTCTTTGAAGAGATTTTCAGCGGATGATTTGCTGAAATAATATTTATTACCAGCATATTCGAATTCTTGAGAATGTTGTTTCCTGTATTCAAACATTTCTCTTATCATTTTAACTGTCCATGCAACTGGTTGATTGTTTTGGACAACTTTAACAGGAGATGCAGGTCTTTCATTTGTTACAAATGATGTTCTGATACCACTGAAGTTCCTCATCTTTGCTTGCCTCTTCTTCTGGATGTTCATGTTTGGTGAAATATCAAATAAAAGAAATGGAGTTGTCTTTGTGAATAAATTCAAATTAAAACTTGTTTCTGTGGCAACTCTGCTCAAAGTGCTCATGAAAGATGCTTCACTACTTGATCTCGAGTTCTGCAGCGCAAGATTGAATTCAATTGTACTGTCAGCAATTCGAACAGGATCAGTTTGTGTTGTTTGGTCAAACAAAAATTTGCCTGAGTTTTTGACAATTGATTCAGCAGTATCAAACCAATCATGCAAATATAATTCGAATTCATCGAATGTTCCAGGACTCAAGACAATATCAAACTTGGATTTAACAGTCTCAATCCAGTCTTTAAGTCTTTTTCCGTAATTTTTAACAAAATCAAATCCAATCGTTTTTTCTGACACGAGTTTGAATGGTCCTTGGCAACCAGTTCCTGTTAATATTGCCCATGCTTGAGCGATCTCAGTATCTTCTTCAAATTCAACTTCCAAAGAGTGAATGGAATCTTCCAGAGGATTTGACAAATCATCAACAATTTTTGTGACACAAAAAGTAACTTCTGGAATTGTTTTTTGCAAGTTCACGAGTCTATCTGTTTTCTTTGTGACAAATTCATCCAAATCCTTTGAGAAAGAGTTCAATTTGAATGCAATTGCTCTTACTTGTAATGAATCAACAACTCCATTCGAATCTCTAAATTTAGAAATCTTTCCTTGCAATGAAGAATTCAACAATCTTGCAGTATCATTTAGCCATCTTGAAATAGGAGTTAACTGCTGAATAGAATTGTCTCCTGTTGGTTTAGTCATCCAGTTTATTATGATGTCCATTTTGTCTTGGTATTCACCAAGTAATTGAGGAATTGTTTCTGGAACAAAAGTTGAAAATTCTGGTTTTAAAACTGTTTTCTTCAATTGTGTAATAGTTTGAAGAATGTCCATTGATGTTTCTCTTGCTGTTAAGATACCTTCATTCTCATCAAGGTGCTCCCATTCTTCAATAATCTTCGACCATGCTTGGAAATCGTCGGCCATTCGTTTCATTTCTCCATTGAGCATAAATTCTTGGTATTTCGTACTATCGGGATGATCTAATACAAGGTTGTTATAATCATTGATAATCTTTGTATAGTATTTGGCACAATTATCTGCAATACTTTTGATATGCAATAAAACTGTTGATTGAGATTTGCAACATACTGAGAATAAGACAACAGCTTTATCATTCCATAAATTAGCCAGATCTTCTGAATTCGAAATTAATTCTTTTGTTTTTGATTTAAGAGTTTTAATAAATCCTTCACCAACCCTCTGCCATTTTTCACGCTTTAACTCTAATGTTTTTATGTCAGTTGCTGACAAACGACTAATTTCAAGCGTTGCATCTTTCCAAATCGCTATTGCCTTTTTAGAAGTCAAGCATTGGGAATGTAGTATCTCTACACGATGCTGCAGTGTCTCAACTTCTTGTTCAAGTTCTTTAGTTTTGCCAAGAATTGTTGTATTTGGAGTTTTTTCGACGACAACAACTTTCTCAACAGTTTCTGGCGGTCTACTCTTGAGTTCTATAATTTTCTGTTTGAACATTTCGAAATCACTAATAGATTTTGATAATGCTGCTTCTGAACTTGTTTCTAAATCAATAGTAACATCGCATATGTTTTCAATCATATATTCTAAGCAATATAATATCTTTTGTAGCAAATTTCCAACAAAAGGACAACGAGCCTTATAATCATCAATCAAATCACCGAAAACTTTCTCTTTAAATGAGTCTATTATTGTAGAAAAATGTTTAGCTGATTGAGATGGCTTAGATTTGTCGAATAAACTATGGGTATTATCAATTAAATTCGTTGCAATTTGAGTAATTTCTTTCATTTCTTGTGCATTCAACATATGTGTTCTGTCTTTTGGAACCATTCTTCCGTATTCATCATATTCTATAGCAACTGATCGTGCTTTTGTGCGATTGAATGGTTTTGAATCAGATTCCTTACTTCGCATGATTAAATCTTGAACTGATTTCTGTAATTGTTTAAAATCTGCCTCATTTGACGCGCTTTTGGTTGATTTATTATAACAAATAGGATCTGCACCTTCAACTCGACACATTTTGATTTTTTTCAACGCTTCTTTTCCGTTAAAACGATTTCTTCGAGCTGAAATATGTTTAGTAGACTTTTTACTACTCTTCCCACCCGATGGTCTCACTGTGAAAATGTCTGCTTCATCGAGAAATTCCACCGGTGGATCCATTCTAAACGTGCACTTTTAAAATTTCTATACTTTTTCAAATATTATCCGAAACAAGTACTATAGCAAATTTGATTTCAATCTGAAAATCTTTATCACAAAATTCTGAGCTGTCTTTTTTAAAAATTTCCATAAAATGATGATATTTTGTTTTTTGTTTTTTTGGAATACCTCACCCAAAGAAGATTATGACGAGGACCTTCAAGAGGAACCTATTGATTGGGATGAAACTCCTTTATATGATGTAATTATACTCGGAAGTGGTCCTGCAGGAAGCACAGCAGCAATTTATACTGCACAGGCTGGCTTTTCAACATTAGTAATACATGGCGAACTACCTGGTGGGCAGCTTTCTAAAACAACAGAAGTAATTAACTTTCCAACATTCAAAGGAACAGGACCTGAACTTGTTAAAGCTATTGAAATGCAAGCAACAGAATATGGCGCAGAATACAGATTTGATACAATTGTCAAGACAGACTTAAAATCATTCCCTCGAAGACTTACAACTGCAAATGGCGAAGGATTAAGGTGTAGAAGCCTTATCATCGCTACAGGTGGCAGAGCAAGAATGCTAGGACTAGAATCAGAGCATAGATTAATGGGCCGAGGTATATGTACTTGTGCTCATTGTGATGGCCACCTTTTTAAAGGTAAAAGTGTTGTAGTTGTCGGTGGTGGAATGGCTTCAATTCATGAGGCGCTCTATTTAAGCAAGATTTGCTCCAATGTAACACTTGTTTCGCAATCATCAAAATTAAGAACAATAACTAATATGGATGAAACACCTTCAAGTAACGGAATCAAAGTAATAACGAACACAGTTGTCAAAAACATTACAGGAACATATGGCGTCTCGGGAGTGACTCTTTTTGATAAAATTAATAATAGAATGTATAACATCTGCTGTAGCGGTGTGTTCATATCAATAGGACAAATACCAGAAACATCTATATTCAGAGACGTACTTCCTGTAAATAAAAATGGCTATTTCATTACTGATGGAACGCCAAAAACAAAAATACCGGGTGTTTTTGTCGCTGGAGATTGTACAAGCCAGGAAATAAAGCAAGCTGTGACTGCTGCAGGCGATGGATGCAAAGCTGGAATATATGCTGCAAAATATCTTCAAACCTTATGATTTAACTAATATACCACCTATATATACACATAATATTATATAAAAATACTATCTGTTTCTATTAATTTTTTCACTTTAATGATATATTTTTAAATATGACTGTCCAGTCGATAGCTTGTGAGGAATCTACCACTCATCAACATCCAAAACACTAGAATATATAGATAGATCAGGCAAGTTATGAAAAAACACCGGAATAATATTTTCAATTAGTTTGATTTCATAAAAAAACTATCCTTTTATGATACACATATTGATAACCATTGTTAAATCATTAATGAAAACTATATTATATTAAAAACCTTTTTAACTATCGTGAACAGCTACTTTTGATCTTAATGTTCAATCATATATAATCAGGATAAGCGTTTTCTAAACGAAAAATAACAAAAAAGTGTTTAATATTGAAAATTCAGCGTTTTTAAGTGGATGACAAATTAATCCGTGGAAAGATAATATGTATTCGAATCTATATCTTATTTTAAAATATAAATGGATATTAACCTCTTTTGACAATTTTAATAAAATATTGTGGGGATATATGCTTAATTCTTAGCCATATAATTTAAATTCAGGAAGATTGTCAATAACCAAGATAAGTTATGTTGAAATTGCAAAAAATATTTTTTTCTGAGTTTTCAAACTTAAGGGAGGCTTCCGACCAGAAAGCTCTCTCAATTTTTTGTGATGTTTACACCAAAAGTGAGATTCGTTAAGCGTTTTTCTCGTTGAATATTGAGTTTCCCGGATTTTGAGTTATTCATAAAGCTCCTCTATATTATACCCTATCTACTGATATGATTATTTTTGAAAAATCTCTTAAATCGACCTGCACTGAATTTTTTAGGGAAAATTCGAAATTTTCTAGGCGTTTTCTGTAACGTTTTTTGACGGAATAAAATCCGAAAAATAATTTTTTGAAGAATCATTTGGGTAGAATACTTATCGAAAATTATATTTATTATAATTTTGGTCGATAAAAATAAGCGGATTCAAAACTGGCAAAAACCCTTTCGGCAATTTGTGGACGATTCCGAACCCCCTCATTTTTGAAATTTAATAAGAAAAATAGAATCTTTATTAAATATAGATTTTAAAAAACTTGGTTATAAATTACGAAATTTTCTCACTTGGGGTAAAAAGTGACAATTTGGTCGGAAGCCACCCTTAACGAGATATTTTATTTTTTATCCACCAATAATTAAAGAAAAAACACGAGATGCGTTGCGAATTTCAACATATCATGGGAAAAAAGGATCATCGTTTTTAAAAATTGATTGAATGACTGATCACAACGATAAAAAAAGTTGAATGAATCGCAAACATAATATAGATTTATTATCATAGAAAAATATTTGGATATTTCAATACATTGAATTTGACTGGTAATTGAAATGGGCAAACCCAAATTTTAGCTAAAAGTGACAGGAAAAAAAAACATTTCGTATTAAAAAAGACCGATGAGAGCTTCGTTCGAAATATAGAGGGAACTGAGAATGCGCAACCATTCTCAGGGAATATTGGATGCTATTCCCGTTCCCTCTGTATGAAAAATTGAGGTTTTCAAAGGGAGTTAAAATAATATCAAATTTATACTAATTTACTTCAAAATACAAAAGTATTTGACAGCTAAAATTAGTTACTTTAGCAAGCCTATCAATACCCTTTTACGATTATTGCTACTTTTTCGAAATAAAAGTAAAAACAAATTTATACTAATTTACTTCAAAATACAAAAGTATTTGACAGCTAAAATTAGTTACTTTAGCAAGCCTATCAATACCCTTTTACGATTATTGCTACTTTTTCGAAATAAAATAAATTTATTATCAAAAACCTTTTTTTCTTAGTAAAAATAAAAATGTTATTTTATATCAAGTTTTTATTCATAAATTTTTATAATGTTGTATAAATTTCATTAAAATTTACGTACATATTAAGGTACTTATCTTCTACATATATAATCTTCATTAGATATATACATGATAAATAAAATTCATAAAACATTAAAAATCAAAAAATTAGATGAACCTTGGCAATTAAACTTTATTAAATAATAGTTGTTTATAAATTATATTATATTATTATTTAATATTATTTTGATAATGAAGATTTTATTTTGCAATAATATAAACGAAATTTTTTACCTTATGAACTTTTGATGGAAATATGCAAATTTAAAATAATAAAGAAAGCCGCGAGCGAAGCGATCGGCTTAGTTCGAAGATTTTGATTCAAATCTTTGCTGATCTGTAATTCGCGGAAGCCGCGAGCGAATCGAGCGGCTTAGGTCTAAGATTTTGATTCAAATCTTTGCTTATATTCCTTAAATTCTTTATGAAACTCGCAACAGTTCCATAAAAAATTTTAAATTCTAAACTGTCGAAATTACCGATCGGTAATCACACCCTTCATGGGTGTGTCACTTTTACAAGTGTGTCACTTTTAGCTAAAATTACCCCTACTCAATTGAAATGTATAAAGAAAAATTACCAATATTTTATTCTCAAAGTTAATTATACCACAAAACATTATGAATAAAATAAAATGTCAAAAATTGAAAATCGAAATGCTTTTCCATTGCAAATTGCCGAGTTATCGAAATAAATATGTGATATAATCGAAAGAAAATAATAATCTATTTAAACAAAATAATTATTGCCTTTCAAGGCCGAAGGCGCTAACAATATCGTCATGAATATTTACAAAAGGATCATATTCACTGTTATTGTTGCCATCGGTTATTGAGGCAAATAATTCCTCTAAAGATTTATCAACGGAAACGTTGGTAAAAGCAGGATAATTCATAGGTTTTTCTTCTAAAACTTGTATATTTGAAGTAGTTACCGGATTTTCTTTTTCGAGAAGTTCTTTACAGTGGCTTTTGACCTGAACTACTGTATGCCGAGGGAATGTTACTTGAATTTGAATCCATCTTTTACCTAACTCTTTATATTTTTGAAGGAGCAAAGCATCTTCTTCGGGTGTCCAGTCTTTACTTGCAGAATGCTTGCATAATACATGGCGCCATCTATCTCTGCACTGCTGGACATTCCTTCCTGGCATTAATGAAGCAATTGTAACCCAGTTCGTGTGCTTACATTCAGTAATAAGGTATGTAAGGAGCTTATCTTCATCATGCGTGAACTTCGGAGTGGCAACCTTACCTTTTTTAAAAGACATTCTTCTAAAATGATTTTCAGTACAGCCTGAATTTGTGATTAAACGGTTAAAAAAATTAATTACGATTTGATGCAAATTATTGATTATTTGAGTTCATTTTACAGGAATCATTTTATCAATTTTTATATAGACTGTGAAATTTTTATGCTAAGAGCGTTAATATTAGAATGTTAGATATGTGCTATAATGATAAACAGCAAAATTTTAAAAAAGTAGTTTGGCTTCTCAAATTTTATATAAAATTGAGCGATTTGATGACACCTTTTCACATAATAAAAAAATATTGATATATATTAAACAATATAGCAAAAATAGAAACATTAATTATTTTATAACGAAATAAATTCAATTTTGAAAATTAATTAATGTGATGAATAAAATGTGATATTTAATATACTTCAATAAACTCCTATAAAACTCAAATATTTGTTAAACCTTTCAAATATTGTGTATAGATTTTGCTTTTAACTCTATATATTTCATCATTGTGCCATAATATCAATTTTTCGATTCCAAATCAATTCAAATTCATTGATATTAACCATTGGTTATCAATTCAGTATCATTAATTTTAGTGAATACTACAGTCTCACTCAATGACTTTTACGAATACTTTTTCGATACTTATCAAAATTCGTTTATGCTCTTCAGATAATCTTACTCAAATCATCTTCGTAAATCTATGTTTACAAAATTATATACCTTTAATTTAAAAATATTTCAATATCTCACAAATTTTTCTCATACAATTTTATTTTCTGATAAAGCAAATCAATCGTCTTGCTAAAAATACAACCAGTTTAATACTTAAATATTATCATCGATAGCTATTTCAGCATCCTGTCAAAATATAATCATTTCAATAAAATCATGAATACTTATTCTTTAAACAATTTTCTCTATATAATTTTGATAATTTCAATTTTTTTGAATTAATCCTTCAATTTTACGTTCTCTCACAATATATCTTCTCAAACTGGCTCTTAAAGATAAACATACATATTATGATGTCATCACTATTGTGCATTTTTTGAACACCATTTCCGACAACAAATTTTAACGATTCCCACATTTTTCTTTCGATTTTTTTATAATAATTCACTCTATTATTTATCTCCTATTTAACATTACACATTTTGCAAATTCTCTATCTTCGTATTTTTAAAATCTCGCATTTATTGAAAAGATCGATTTTACTCGCTAATATTTCTTATAATTAAGGGTTTCGTTTTGCGAAAAAAACGTACAATACGCAATTTCGCTAAAAAAACATTTAGCTAGCAATTTCGACCTTTGACTCCACTCAAGACGTCACTTTTTTAATTTTGCGGTATCATATTTTTGGAAAATCTTTATGAATAAAAAAAAAAAAAAAAAAAAAAGGTAGTGGGGCTTCCAGGCACTTCGTGCCTTCTAGCCCTGAAGATGATTATTATAAATGAAGTTCTTATATATACGGGTCTTCCAGGAGCTTTTCACAAATTATATATGTTTTCATGTTTTGTCAAACATGAACGTACATGTTTTGTCAAGACTTCTTCTTCGTAAATGTTTTGTCAAGACTTCTTCGTAAATGTTTTGTCAAACATGAACGTAAATGTTTTGTCAAGACTTCATCGTAATGAGTGTAAAGGACCCAAAAATAATGTTTAGGTGAAGAGGTGAGATCTCACCCGTTTTTTCACCTGTTTTCTCACCCTCTTGAATTTTCATGATTTCTTCGTAAATGTTTTGTCAAGACTTCTTCTTCGTAATGAGTGTAAAGGACCCAAAAATATAATTTAGGGTAGAAGGTTAGATCTAACCTCTTTTCTAACCTCTTTTCTACCCTCTTGAATTTTCATGATTTCTTCGTAAATGTTTTGTCACTTTTCTGTCACTTTTCAGGTAAAAACATTTTTATTATTATATATAAATGAATTTTACAAAACCACCGTTACCGTTCTTTGGAAATAAGAGTAGATGTAAAGATATTATATTGAGAGAACTTAAGAAACTACCGAATGGTCTAACATTTGTAGATTTGTTCGGTGGAAGTTTCTATATATCCCATTTGTGCCATATAATATTCCCAGACTCAAAGATTATATGCAATGACTTCGACAACTATATGGACCGTCTCAAACATATTCCAGACACAAACAATATATTGAAAGAGTTAAAAGAAAAGATACCTATAGGTAAGATGGAACGTATACCATTAGATAAGAAAAATATTGTGAGAGAGGTTTTGAAAAAAGCAGAATATATAGACTGGGATAGTATATCTGCTAGACTATTATATAGTGGTTCTATAAGAGTTCATGACATTGAAACACTTATGTCAAAAGTTTTATATCTTAACTATACAAATGTTTTCAAAGAGGACATAGAAAAATATATTGAGGGTATAGAGTTTGTGAGATGTCATTGGACAGATTTGTATGAAAAATATAAAGACAAGGAAAATGTTTTCTTTATAGTGGACCCGCCGTTCTATAACACATGGGATTTTCAATACCAAGTAGACTGGACTTTGAGAGACTCTTTAGAAACTTTAGACGTTTTACATAACTGTCCATGCTTTTACTTTACATCCGATAAAAGTGGTTTGGAAACCGTTATAAGATGGTTAGAGGACATACATGACTATGAGTTTATATATGACAAGATAGAATATGAGAGAGGACCTATAAACTGGAGAAAGTGTCATAACAAAGAAATTTTATTAGTAAGTAAATGTGGTTTGAAATAGGACTACTTGTTTTAGGTTTTTTCCATTGTGTCATTTATTTATTTGACGTGGCAGAAAAGTACAGAGAATATGAAGATGAACCAATGCCTGCAAATGTTCAGCATATGTACTCGTAAGAGATATTTTTATCTAATATTAAATGGACGCACAGAACTTAGCGAATGCACAGCAACCTGGACAACCAAACCCAGAGAATATTCCAAATGAAGTTAGAATACAAACTGCAATGGCAAACTATGGTCAAGTGCCAACAGATGTACAAATGCAAACTGCCATGTCAAATGACGCTGCGTTAGGTTTGCCACCATGGTATGCAAATATGAGATGGAAAGAGTTTTATACAAACCCTGAAGTGGGATATAAACAACTTTATGCAGATGACGCGAACACAGGAGTTGACCCAGAATATGTTTTCTACCAGAGGAGAAACAGAATGTATGAGCTCCAGTTAAAGAATGCTATGGAACTCAACAGGAAACGTAAGAGACTAGGCGGACATTAGATTTTTACATATAGTAAAATGGGTTTCTTCAGTAGTATTGGAAACTTCTTCAGAAGAGTTGGAAGAGGTATATGGAATGGAATAAAATCTGTCGGAAGAGGAGTATGGAACGGTGTCAAAAATATTGGTAAAAGAGTAGGTCAGTTTGTTGGTATTATACCTAAAGACCCTGAACCAGAAGAACAAGCTCCTGTTATACAACAGCCTGAACCTGCACCACAGTCTAGTTGGCAACCAAATCCAACACCTCAACCGTATTAAAAAATTATATTTTTACCGTTCGATAGTAGTTGTATATGAAACCAAGTTCTAAGTAAAACGCATGGTATAATGGAATTATTCTTTTTCTTCCATCTGTAGTAAACCATACTTGAAAGTCTGAAATACTTCCACTCGGCGGTTCATATAACTTTGTAGGTTTTTCGTAAAAGTCATTTGCCAAGCATAAGAAAGAGTTTTGGGCGCCAGAAAATGAAGCATGAACTATCACAGCATCTTGGTCGAAAACATCTTTAAATAAATATGGTTCATCTCTTGCATATCGACTGTAAATATTTGCTAAAGGAAGTTCGACTTTCTGATTTAACATTCTTTGCAAATAATACCATGACATTGCAGTGAATTCTGTATATATTTGTTCGTCTTTATTGGATTGTTTTCGTAGATTTGAAATGACACTTGTGAATTTTGTTTGTCATATACAATTCTCACATAAAGTGTGCTCTCGGTATTTGCATATTCATCAGCATATTTTGCATAACATGAATTTATTTTATCTTCTATATTTTTTAACGCAGTCTGTAGAGAAGATGAAAGGTCAACTTGTATTAGCTCAATTTCTTCCCACATTTTTTCGTTTCCCTTCAGATATATAATCTATATGAAACCTTACAATAAATGGAAAACTTTTATCTTCTACAGACACAAATTTTATTCTTCGAAAGCCAATAGCTTTTGTGACAGATGGGTCTCTTAGCCATCTTAATGGTAGTCAAAACGATAGCCTTCATGCTTTACGGTCTCTGTCTCAAACTTTTGACCGACATTAGTAAAAGTTCATCTAATGGTTTAGTTGTAGCAACTCTTGAATTTTCTTTTTCTATTGAAAGCATATTTTATCTAGAATAAAAATGTCGAAAGATATTGCTTCCATGAGAGAAATACAACACAACCGACAACTCATTATGCAAGCTCTAAATAAGAACACAACAAACTTTTCAAACTATTCTAAGATATCTGAGTCATTGAAAGAAGGAAACTTAAAACTGACATTAAACCCAATGACAGATGAGTTTCTATTTCAAGACAAGAAGAACAATACTGTCTGTATAAATCCAACAAAAGGAACTTTAAACGAGAAACCTATAAATGAACTTCTTTTGAAAGCAGATGTTGACAACAAAGCTGACAAAGAATATGTAGACGATGCAATAGCAAAAGAAGAAGAAAGAGCTAACAATGCTTATGCAACAAAAGAACATACTCATCCTGAACTAGCAGACAAAACATATGTTGACAATAAAATGTCAAGTGAAGTGACGAGAGCTGAAAACGAATATTCTAAAAAGACTCATACACATTCTATATCTGAAATAACAGACTTAAACGTTAGCCTTGAAAAGAAAGCGGATAAGGATTGTGTGGCTAGTGCGTTAGAGAAGAAAGCAGATAAGGAATATGTGGATGAAAAAGATAATGAAATTATAGAAAGGGTTGACTGGTACCATGAACGGACATCGAAGATTTTAAAAACTAAAGCCGATA